AATTGTCATTTATGAATATAGTTTTTAAATTTAAATTCGAATAATTTAGTATATTTATTTTAATTCATATATATATATATATATATATATATATATATATATATATATATATATATATATATATATATATATATATATATATATATATATATATTTGTTTTGCATACAAAAATCAAAACAAAAATCTATAGAAGTTATAAGTCCTATGATGAAAACAGGTCCTATGCGAGAAAATCTATTCCACTAAAAAAAAAAATACAAAAATACAATTGACTATTTTCTCTCAATAAAGCTTAGCGTTGTTAAAAAGAGATAAGCTTACTTTTTGTAAACCCATCGGAGAAAAACGGGCAGCTTCTTGGAAAGGAACCGCTTAAGCTTGAAAGATTACATACCATCGTATTTTCCAACTGTGACATTCACATGGCGCTGCTCTATAGTGTTATGTAAAGTGAAATAGAAAAGATGATAACAAAAGTGACCCCTGACCTGGACGGTCAAGGGGTCAAGGGGTCACCTCCCCCACTGGCTATATACCCAGTCCTACAGCCCGTCCTCTAAACGAAGACCCAAAAGTGATTCCATCCACCCGCCAAACCCCCCTGTTTTATGACTGAAAAACGGTTTATACACACGACTCACAAATGATGACGTTCGAACACTTCCGGAACAAGTGCTTCCCTGACGACCTTTGTTCGAACCACAACGCTGTAAATGCTTCACCCACGTACTACAAATACAAATAATCGCCAACAGAACCTAAACACCTAACCTAACCTAACCTAACCTAACCTAACCTAACCTATGCCTATATGCACAATATACTAATATATTATAATATTAATTTTTATTTGTGAAAATTCCCGTTTTGAATGAACAGGATGAATAAATTTATGAATGCGTCAGTGGGGAGGGGGGCGTCGACCGCTATCTTCCTTCTTGAGGTTATCTTGAGATGATTTCGGAGCTTAGCGTCCCCGCGGCCCGGTCCTCGACCAGGCCTCCTTTTTGTTACACAACCCCCCCCCCCCCCCCAGCGGCCGTCCTTCCCCCCCCTCCCCCCCTTCCCCCCCCCCCCCAGACGCATTCATCAATTTTAACATACTGTTTATTACAAATTGGTTTGTTCTAATATTTAAATAAATAATATTATACATAAAAATTCGATGTATAGTTAGGCGTAGGTTAGATGAGATGTTTAGGTTCTGTTGGCGATTATTTGTATGTGAAGTACGTGCACGTGGGTGAAGCATTTACAGCGTTGTGGTTCGAACAGAGAACGTTAGCAAAGCACTTGTTCCGGAAGTGTTCGGACGTCATCTGTTGTGAGTCGTGTGTAAACAGCTTTTCATTCATAAACAAGGGGATTTGGCGGCTGGATTAACGAGCTAGGATCCTTATATGCGAGAACGGGTTGTGGACTCGAGTCGAGGACGGGTTGTGGACTCGAGTCGAGGACGGGTTGTGGACTCGAGTCGAGGATGGGTTGTGGACTCGAGTCGAGGACGGGTTGTGGACTCGAGTCGAGGACGGGTTGTGGACTCGAGTCGAGGACGGGTTGTGGACTCGAGTCGAGGACGGGTTGTGGACTCGAGTCGAGGACGGGTTGTGGACTCGAGTCGAGGACGGGTTGTGGACTCGAGTCGAGGACGGGTTGTGGACTAGAGTCGAGGACGGGTTCCATACGGCCACCGACTTTGTCTCGAAACGCGCTTCGCTCATCTGAATGAATCTTCACCTCCAGAAAATAAATACCCGGCCACCATTTTGTTCCCCGGCGCCCTGTTCAAGTTCAAGTATGTTTATTGAGATAAGCAATAAATACATCTCAAAGGGATAGAGTAGCTTAGGCTATTTCTACCCCCCCTGGCGCCCTGTTGCGCGGGAACCAGCTCGTGTCACCGACGACATAATAGTGTCATTAATGTCCTCGTACGTCTGTAGAAAATGGCTTCAAAGTGCGCGCTGATCCTCCTTACAATCGTACTTTAGTGGTGGATAAGTAATGAATTAGTGTTTTGTGGTGAAGAGCAGAGGTGACCGAGGAGTTCCTCCCTCCACCGACCTGTGAAGCAGCGGGTGACCATTGTCACGGTGGTGTGTTCGTCCCGGTGGACCCAGGAAACAGGGTTCGACTCCCCCGTCCTCATGTGAGTATTATGAGGCCCGTTTATGAGTAACTCTCAGAGCACATCTTGACAGGAATGTGTTGGCGGATGTGGTAAATACCACACCCAACACTGGGTACCAATAATGTGAAGTACCACACGCAACACTGGGTACCTATAATGTGTAGTACCACACCCAACACCGGGTACCTATAATGTGTAGTACCACACCCAACACCGGGTACCTATAATGTGTAGTACCACACCCAACACTGAGGTACCTATAATGTGCAGTACCACACCCAACACCGGGTACCTATAATGTGTAGTACCACACCCAACACCGGGTACCTATAATGTGTAGTACCACACCCAACACCGGGTACCTATAATGTGTAGTACCACACCCAACACTGGGTACCTATAATGTGTAGTACCACACCCAACACTGAGGTACCTATAATGTGTAGTACCACACCCAACACTGGGTACCTATAATGTGTAGTACCTCACCCAACACTGAGGTACCTATAATGTGTAGTACCACACCCAACACTGGGTACCTATAATGTGTCAGCCCGTCAAAGCATACAAAGATCCAAGCTCGTTAATCCAGCCGCCAAACCCCCTGTTTATAAATAAAAAGCGGTTTACACACGACTCACCTGCTGCCAAATTCCAGTTTGGCAGCAGGCTGCTGCTTCTGGAAACTTTCCTTATTAAGACTACTCAATAGCTCGGTCGACAGAGCCTCGTCCTCACACACCTGAGGTCCAGGGTTCGAGTCTGCTACAGCCCTGGTGAATAGAAAGTTTATATGTAGTGTGGATGTTATGTGTAGATGTTGTTTACCAATATATTAACTTAAAGAGACGTTACTAGACGCCTCGACGGCGTCTTAACTGAGGGTTCAGTCTATCTGGGTGGCCGCCACACTTGGGCTCTTTTCTCTCTCTTTTCTGTAGCTTTAAAAGCGACGGGATGAATGCTGTGCTTAGACGTCCCTGGGATAGTGTTACGGTGGAGGGTTTTGTTTGATATACGCGTCACCTAAAGTCTGCAGATGCTATTGATACAACCTCTAGGAGGGCGCCGTCTGCGGCCTCAAGGAACGCTCCGTTTGACAATCTATTTGAATTGAGGAATCAATATTTGTGCTAAGAAATGACCTGTAATCCAAGGGGTCAAAGATGCATGAAACATCAGTCAACTAAACAGGTGTACTTGGGGGGGGGGGGGTTGAGGGGGGGGGGTGGAGGGGGGTTAAGGAACAGGTGTAGAGAAGAAAGAATGAATTAGCAAACCGTTTTTATTTAAGGTTCCAGCAACGGTAATTGTTGTTCCAGGGTACAGACCGTCCAGCAAGAGGCCCCACAACACCTGGTATTCACGCTCTTCACTCTGACATCGAAAATGAATCGGAATGAATCACTGCGTCTTAAAGGAATGTGTTTATATATTAATGCTAAAGGAGGGGGCTATACTCATTCTCTACCTCCACCATTCTAATCCTCTTCTAATTTGGGATGGGACGGGGAGGAAGGAAGTGGTTGGGGCACCATTCCTTCCTCCCCGTCCCATCCCAAATCCTTATCCCGCTTCCTTCCCAGTGCTATATAGTCGTAATGGCTTGGCGCTTTGCCCCGACAATTGCCTCTTCTCCCCCTCCCCCCTTCTCCTTTATCCGCGCTATATCCCCTCATATTCTACCTCCTCTTCCATCTCCCCCTCTTCCCAAATCTCCGACCGTTGAAGTGGTTGGGCAGCATTTCCTTCCCCCCCCCCCAACATCCCATCCTAAATCCCTAACCTCATCCGCCTTTTACTGTCAAGGGGGGGGGGTGATAGTTGAAATGACTTAGTGGTTTCTCATGGTAATTACCTTACCTTACGTCAGCGGTCGTCAAGAGTTCACCTTGACAGCTGTCAAGGAGTTACATAGTCGTCATGGCGTGGCACTTCACCCTGATAATTCCCTCCCTCCCTTCCATTACCTCCTGGGTTATTATGCCTGTCGCTTCATGCAGGTCGGCGTTCAATCCCCGACCGTCCATATAAGTGGTTGGGCACCATTCCTTGCCCCCCCCCTAATGGCTTTGCGCTTTCCCCTGATAGTTCCCTTCCTTCCCCCCCCCCCATCCCCCACCATCCCCATCCCTCACCATCCCCATCCCTCATCCAGTGGACTTAAGGGTTGAACAGACACACAAACTTTCCAAGCAGAGGGACGACTCAGCCCGCGGGCTCAGGTGGACGCCTGAGAACCCCTGGAGAAAAGATTAACAATAGTGATAGTGTGTGTGAGAGTGGAGTCGCGCCCCTGTTCACCCAGCAACAACTGGGGACCTGGTTGTAAGCCGGTTGTACGGGTCTCGGGGAATTGGGGAGCAAATTTAGTGAACCTGGCACATCTAAAAAGGGCGGGGGGGGGGGGGCCTACTGTCTCTCGATATGAGATTAAAACTGCCCCCCCCCTCCCCGATTATTTTATCGACCGTTAATTACTTATATTCCCCTAGAGTTCCTGCTGTAAGCCTTCCGTCTATCCCCTCGCAACTGTTGATGATTGATCACCACAGGTACCCCCCCCCCTGTGGTGCCGACATCGAGATGCCCATGTTCGGTACCTACCCCATTGCAATCATTGTGCAAATTTCGGTGAGTCTAGCCCAAAGCCTCTGTCGCACATACTCGGTCAGACAGACAGAAAACATCTGATATAGCTTACCTTCAGGAACCTGTACAGGGATTGTTTTTCAAACCATTTTTGCAGCGGTTTCTCCAAACCATTTCTAGATCATCCAGTGCCAGAATGGTTCCCATTTAGAGTATGCAGCACTGGCGTGGATCCCACTTTCTATACTGTAAATGACAAAATGTAAAAATGTTCAGAGGTCCACAACAAGGAGGATGAACACAAGGAGGATGAACACAAGGAGGATGAACACAAGGAGGATGAACACAAGGAGGATGAACACAAGGAGGTAATAATGTTGAACACGTCAAATGAACGTAATTTTCAATTCATTTAAAACCAACCTCGCTACCTCGACTGGTCGGTACAGTGACGACTTTTGTTTCCTTGCATGATCGGAGTTCGATCCCTGACTGTCCAAGTGGTTATGCACCATTCCTTCATCCCTTTCTGAAATTCCAGCTCCTTGTACTGATATCCCACTAACCTAATAAAACTGATACAGTGAGCAGACTGTTTAATTCAGCTGTAATCAAGATTACAGGAAATATAAAACTCTTGGGATACAACGTTGTAGTGAACGGTGAAGTCAGAAAGATAAAGAGGTTTGGGTTGTGGAGCACTCGCCCCCCCCCACACACACACAGGGGCCTGGTGGCTGAGTTGACAGCGCTCGGTATCCGTAATCCTAGGGGTCCGGAAATCGATCCCCGGCGATGGCGGAAACAAATGTCTTTCACCCTGATATTCCTGTTCGCTTAGCAGTAAATAGGTACCTGGGAGTTATACAGCTTCTACGGGCTGCTTCCTGGGATGTGTGTGTGTGTGTGTTTGAAAAATAGGTAGTAAGCATAATATAGAAAAAATAGACTGGTTAGAAAGGCGGGGTCCAAGAGCTAATAGCTCGATTCCGCAGGAACAAACAGTAAACACAAACAAATAGTAAACACAACCACACACAAAAGCAGCCCCCGCCCCCCCTCAAAAAACATTAATTAGCAAGTCGTTTGGTTTTGTATTTGCATCTGATTATGTCTGAACACAACAGCAGATCACCTCGGGGAGATCGCTGAGAGAAGCACACCTAACGAAGGAGTTCCGTGCTGTTGCGAGGGAGAGGGGGAGGGGGGGGAGGGGGGGGCGTGCCACAGCGAGGTATTTATTCCCCCCCCCCCCCCACACACACACTCCTCTACCACACACACCCTCACACCCCTCTACCACACACACACCCTCACACAACCCTACCCCACACACAACCCTCACACCCCTCTACCACACACACACCCTCACACCCCTACCACACACACACCCTCACACCCCTACCACACACACACCCTCACACCCCTACCACACACACACCCTCACACCCCTTCCACACACACACCCTCATACACCCCTACCCCACACACACCCTCACACACACACCCTCACACACACACCCTCACACCCCTCTACCACACACACACCCTCACACCCCTCTACCACACACACACACCCTCACACCCCTACCCCACACACACCCTCACACACACACCCTCACACACCTACCCCACACACACCCTCACACCCCTACCACACACACACCCTCATACACCCCTACCACACACACACCCTCACACCCCTACCCCACACACACCCTCACACCCCTACCACCCCCCACCCCCCGTTAACCCGAGGCAGACACAACCCACTAGCCCAAATAATAGTTTTGAAGAGCCTCTACTGGCGAAGTCCTCCTGTTGAATACAGTGAGGAAGCTTCAACACCCGGCACTGCTCAAGCTGTATATCACAGCTTAGCTGTATCGGTCTGGCTAGACGCAAAAAAAAATAATAAAGTCTCCTCTAACTAAAATAATAATAATAGTGATCTTGCATTAGAAAATTAGCAAATATTGTTTATAATGAGTCAAGAAACAAATTAAAATATTTCTAATATATAGCGTGGACGCTTAGCTATTTTTTACATTTTTTTTTAAGATGTACAATAAAAAAAATTATTAACGCATTCATTGCAGTTACTGAAATTATAAACAAAAAATAAATTCGCGAGAGAATTATATATAATAGATTTTTTTTTATATTATATTATTTTCTCCCCCCCCCCCCAAAGTGACTATCGCTATGCGAGGGTTTCACAAAGCAACAACTCCAGGACGGGGGGGGGGGGGGGGGGGGGGGAGGGGGGTGGCAGAGACCGCCATGAATGTTGCACAGAGCGGCACTTGCAACGGAGTTTGCAAGACGCTCCAGGAGCCGTTTGCTGGGGCCACCGGCTGCAGTTACTGGGTCCTCTCTTATCAACTTTTCAGCGACATTTGCACTGCTGCAGGTGGTGGGTGTGTGTGTGTGTGTGTGTGTGTACTCACCTATTTGTGCTTGCGGGAGTTGAGCTTTGGCTCTTTGGTCCCGCCTCTCAACTGTCAATCAACTGGTGTACAGATTCCTGAGCCTACTGGGCTCTATCATATCTACATTTAAAACTGTGTATGGAGTCAGCCTCCACCACATCATGCACTGCCTAATGCATTCCATCCGTTAACTACTCTGACACTGAAAAAGTTCACACACACACTGTTCACTGTTCACACAAAAGTTCACACACACACACACACACACACACACACACACACACACACACACACACACACACACACACACACACACACACACACACACACACACTGTGTGTGTGTTTACTAGTTGTGTTTACTAGTTGTGTTTTTGCGGGGGTTGAGCTTTGCTCTTTCGGCCCGCCTCTCAACTGTCAATCAACTGTTTACTAACTTTTTTTCCCCACACCACACACACACACCCCCCAGGAAGCAGCCCGTGACAACTGACTAACTCCCAGGTACCTATTTACTGCTAGGTAACAGGGGCACTTAGGGTGAAAGAAACTTTGCCCATTTGTTTCTGCCTCGTGCGGGAATCGAACCCGCGCCACAGAATTACGAGTCCTGCGCGCTATCCACCAGGCTACGAGGCCCTCTGTGTGTGTGTGTGTGTGTGTGTGTGTGTGTGTGTGTGTGTGTGTGTGTTTGTCCTTGGTGATAGATGCCCTTTTTCGTCAACACACCCTCTTTTCCCTCCACCCCCCCTCCCCCTTCCCCCCCCTCCACCCCCCCCCCTTCCCCCTCCACCCCCCCTTCCCCCTCCACCCCCCCTTCCCCCTCCACCCAACACCCCCCCCCCCCCCCCCCCCGTTATTTTTCATTTGGGACGAGACTACTGTTTCAACTCCCATACTCGTGTATGCTCACAAGGTCGAGTTCCAGCTCCTAATCCCCGAATTTTTATCAAACTATTCCTAGTTTAATTCCAGTGACACTTCTTAAATTTTCTTGTTATTCTACCCATATATACTGAAAACCTGTTTATGAGCGAAGGTATATCAGATCATTCTAAATGGCCTGGCCTTTTAGATCAAGTAAGTGCACTGGCCTTTATCCTGTGTGGCCTCACTGGTGTGGGCAGTAGATGTATGATGTAGCTACGTAAATACATCTTGTATTAGATTGGTGTGTATTTAGTATGGTGAGATTTTTCTCCATGTGTCTCCACTCACCTCCACCAGTCCTGCTGTCTCCATCTCCGGGTGTATTATGTACTTTGGGATTTGTATGATCTACGTATTTTTTCGTGTTATTTTTGCATTTTTTTCTTGAATTGTGGAAGATACGAATCATATTTCATGTATATATGTTTGTCTATTATGAAAGTATTTATTGATCGTTTTTGTTATCAGATTTCTGCTTTCAATGTTGTTCACTCTTGGGATGTTCTGTTCTCTTGTCATGGTGTTCACTCTTGGGATGTTCTGTTCTTCTGTCATGGTGTTCACTCTTGGGATGTTCTGTTCTCTTGTCATGGTGTTCACTCTTGGGATGTTCTGTTCTTCTGTCATGGTGTTCACTCTTGGGATGTTCTGTTCTTCTGTCATGGTGTTCACTCTTGGGATGTTCTGTTCTCTTGTCATGGTGTTCACTCTTGGGATGTTCTGTTCTTCTGTCATGGTGTTCACTCTTGGGATGTTCTGTTCTTGTCATGGTGTTCACTCTTGGGATGTTCTGTTCTCTTGTCATGGTGTTCACTCTTGGGATGTTCTGTTCTTCTGTCATGGTGTTCACTCTTGGGATGTTCTGTTCTTCTGTCATGGTGTTCACTCTTGGTATGTTCTGTTCTCTTGTCATGGTGTTCACTCTTGGTATGTTCTGTTCTCTTGTCATGGTGTTCACTCTTGGGATGTTCTGTTCTCTTGTCATGGTGTTCACTCTTGGGATGTTCTGTTCTCTTGTCATGGTGTTCACTCTTGGGATGTTCTGTTCTTCTGTCATGGTGTTCACTCTTGGGATGTTCTGTTCTCTTGTCATGGTGTTCACTCTTGGGATGTTCTGTTCTCTTGTCATGGTGTTCACTCTTGGGATGTTCTGTTCTCTTGTCATGGTGTTCACTCTTGGGATGTTCTGTTCTTCTGTCATGGTGTTCACTCTTGGGATGTTCTGTTCTCTTGTCATGGTGTTCACTCTTGGGATGTTCTGTTCTCTTGTCATGGTGTTCACTCTTGGGATGTTCTGTTCTTCTGTCATGGTGTTCACTCTTGGGATGTTCTGTTCTCTTGTCATGGTGTTCACTCTTGGGATGTTCTGTTCTCTTGTCATGGTGTTCACTCTTGGGATGTTCTGTTCTCTTGTCATGGTGTTCACTCTTGGGATGTTCTGTTCTCTTGTCATGGTGTTCACTCTTGGGATGTTCTGTTCTCTTGTCATGGTGTTCACTCTTGGGATGTTCTGTTCTCTTGTCATGGTGTTCACTCTTGGTATGTTCTGTTCTTCTGCCATCGGGGGGGGGGGGGGGGATGCAACAGTCGATATTTTGTCTTGTCCTTCATATTTAGCTACAGGAACTATAGTTTTCGGTATACAGAGTGGTACAAAAACTTAAACACATTGCTCATGAACACTCATGAGATTTTGTTCCTCGATACTCTTGATGTTCATATTTGGCTGAAGGAGGTTCTTCTTCCTTCCTTCATTCTGCTTGTACCAGTTCTGGTCTTTGGAAACATTTTCCACCTCTCAGGGCCATTATTTTCCAGGTAAGTTCGGTCTGGAATGATTTGTCCTCCTTTAGTTGTAGCAAGACCCGGTCTGTAGAAGTTCTGTGATGTTTATGAAGATGCTTAGGCATGATCTTGTTGCGTGTTCTTGTCATTGATATCACTGGTTACCTGGATAGTGGTTGTATTATGGGGCCTCCAACACTTTCTTCCAATAAAATGATTTCTTCAAAGTACTCCGTAATGCGATTTGTCATCTTAAGTGTAGATTTTTTCAAAACTGTTACTAGTTTTTAAGAGTTGTGCCCCAACACTGTTTTAGTTTTCTTCTTGCGACCTGATAATCTTTGAGGAAATATCGCATCGGCGATCATTTCAGTTAGTTTCGTTTCTACTACTGCTATTGCATCAGAGTTTATCCTCCGTCCTATCCTTAAATTCATCTGCTTTGATGTTCCATCAGCATTTGTGTTCCATGTTTTTAAAACTGATTGTTATTTTGTCCTCTCCTAGGGCAAGTTTCTGCCTTTTGGAGGGAGAGTTCATCGAACTTTATTTGCTTAACCTGCATCCCCAGAAATAAATCAACATTGGTAGGTTGAACTGGGCTGCAGTTGCTTTGATTACACCATTATTCCACCTATCTAGGCTGCCTCTGTCTGGCCTCCATCTCCCTGGGCTCCCACCTCTCTACCCCTCTCCCTCCCTCTCTCTTCCATCTCCATTGGCCTTTAAGTGCTTAAGTTTCCATCAGTATGACTCTAAGGGGGGAGGGACTAGTCCAAGCTAAAGCTTTATATGCTGGTGATAAAGCTTTCTCATTTTCATTGGAAATTGCTCCTGCTTTGTTTTTTGGCATTCGAAGGTATTAGGCACAAACAAATCCATTTTAATACTGCCTTTCACTTTGACTATATGCAAAAGGACACAGAAAATGTTCCATTCGGATTTTCACATAAAAATATGAAAGTACAAAAGGTTTACCGTGAGCTCCAAAAATTATTTATTGTGTTTTAGTAAAATCTTTTGTCAAACTGAGGTTTCAAATTCTGATTTCTTTCTCTCGCGATGTTGTGTTCTGTCGTTTGTGTGTTGTTGCTGGTGTTGGGTCTGTAGGTGTTGGGTCTGTAGGTGTTGGGTCTGTAGGTGTTGGGTCTGTAGGTGTTGGGTCTGTAGGTGTTGGGTTTGTAGGTGTTGGGTCTGTAGGTGTTGGGTCTGTAGGTGTTGGGTCTGTAGGTGTTGGGTTTGTAGGTGTTGGGTCTGTAGGTGTTGGGTCTGTAGGTGTTGGGTTTGTAGGTGTTGGGTCTGTAGGTGTTGGGTCTGTTGGTGTTGGGTCTGTAGGTGTTGGGTCTGAAGGTGTTGGATCTGTAGGTGTTGGGTCTGTAGGTGTTGGGTCTGTAGGTGTTGGGTCTGTAGGTGTTGGGTCTGTAGGTGTTGGGTCTGTCGGTGTTGGGTCTGTCGGTGTTGGGTCTGTAGGTGTTGGGTCTGTAGGTGTTGGGTCTGGTGTTGGGTCTGTAGGTGTTGGGTCTGTAGGTGTTGGGTCTGTAGGTGTTGGGTCTGTCGGTGTTGGGTCTGTGGGTGTTGGGTCTGTGGGTGTTGGGTCTGTGGGTGCTGGGTCTGTGGGTGCTGGGTCTGTAGGTGTTGGGTCTGTAGGTGTTGGGTCTGTGGGTGCTGGGTCTGTAGGTGTTGGGTCTGTAGGTGTTGGGTCTGTGGGTGTTGGGTCTGTGGGTGCTGGGTCTGTGGGTGCTGGGTCTGTAGGTGTTGGGTCTGTGGGTGTTGGGTCTGTGGGTGCTGGGTCTGTAGGTGTTGGGTCTGTAGGTGTTGGGTCTGTGGGTGCTGGGTCTGTAGGTGTTGGGTCTGTGGGTGTTGGGTCTGTGGGTGCTGGGTCTGTAGGTGTTGGGTCTGTAGGTGTTGGGTCTGTAAGTGTTGGGTCTGTAGGTGTTGGGTCTGTTGGTGTTGGGTCTGTAGGTGTTGGGTCTGTAGGTGTTGTGTCTGTTGGTGTTGGGTCTGTAGGTGTTGGGTCTGTAGGTGTTGGGTCTGTAGGTGTTGGGTCTGTTGGTGTTGGGTCTGTAGGTGTTGGGTCTGTAGGTGTTGGGTCTGTAGGTGTTGGGTCTGTAGGTGTTGGGTCTGTAGGTGTTGGGTCTGTCGGTGTTGGGTCTGTAGGTGTTGGGTCTGTCGGTGTTGGGTCTGTCGGTGTTGGGTCTGTCGGTGTTGGGTCTGTCGGTGTTGGGTCTGTCGGTGTTGGGTCTGTCGGTGTTGGGTCTGTAGGTGTTGGGTTTGTAGGTGTTGGGTCTGTAGGTGTTGGGTCTGTAGGTGTTGGGTCTGTAGGTGTTGGGTCTGTCGGTGTTGGGTCTGTAGGTGTTGGGTCTGTAGGTGATGGGTCTGTCGGTGTTGGGTCTGTCGGTGTTGGGTCTGTAGGTGTTGGGTCTGTAGGTGTTGGGTCTGTAGGTGTTGGGTCTGTAGGTGTTGGGTCCGTAGGTGTTGGGTCCGTAGGTGTTGGGTCTGTCGGTGTTGGGTCTGTAGGTGCTGGGTCTGTCGGTGTTGGGTCTGTCGATGTTGGGTCTGTAGGTGTTGGGTCTGTCGGTGTTGGGTCTGTAGGTGTTGGGTCTGTCGGTGTTGGGTCTGTCGGTGTTGGGTCTGTCGGTGTTGGGTCTGTCGGTGTTGGGTCTGTAGGTGTTGGGTCTGTCGGTGTTGGGTCTGTCGGTGTTGGGTCTGTCGGTGTTGGGTCTGTCGGTGTTGGGTCTGTCGGTGTTGGGTCTGTCGGTGTTGGGTCTGTCGGTGTTGGGTCTGTAGGTGTTGGGTCTGTAGGTGTTGGGTCTGTCGGTGTTGGGTCTGTCGGTGTTGGGTCTGTAGGTGTTGGGTCTGTAGGTGTTGGGTCTGTAGGTGTTGGGTCTGTAGGTGTTGGGTCTGTAGGTGTTGGGTCTGTAGGTGTTGGGTCTGTCGGTGTTGGGTCTGTCGGTGTTGGGTCTGTCGGTGTTGGGTCTGTCGGTGTTGGGTCTGTAGGTGTTGGGTCTGTAGGTGTTGGGTCTGTGGGTGTTGGGTCTGTGGGTGTTGGGTCTGTAGGTGTTGGGTCTGTAAATGTTGGGTCTGTAGGTGTTGGGTCTGTTGGTGTTGGGTCTGTAGGTGTTGTGTCTGTTGGTGTTGTGTCTGTTGGTGTTGGGTCTGTAGGTGTTGGGTCTGTAGGTGTTGGGTCTGTAGGTGTTGGGTCTGTAGGTGTTGGGTCTGTAGATGCTGGGTCAGTAAGTGTTGGGTCTGTAGGTGTTGGGTCTGTTGATGCTGGGAGAGGGGCCAGGTCTTTATGGCCGTCTGTATTGGCTATATTTTTTGCAGCATCGAGCTGTAAGCTCTTGGACCCCGCCTTCCCAGCAAGGCCCAAACAGAGTCACTGTGAGAGGGTGAGGTCTCAGAGTGGCGGGCGCCACCTGTGGAGTCCCACAGGGCTAAGTGCTTGAACCCATCTTCTTTCTCGTAGATGTAAATGATCTTCCATAGGAAATAGACTTATACCTCTCAATGTTTACTAGTGCAAAAGTGGTGATGAGGATTAAGACCGATGAAGACAATAGACTACAAGATGACCTTCAAAACTGAAAGGCTATAGTCTAACGAATTACTACTAGAGTTTAATACAAATAAATGTATCGAAAATGGGTGCAGGGAACAGACGGCTTGACACAAGGTACCAAGTGGAATTTGATATTTAATAAGAATCAGATGTGGTTAAGTTAACAAGTTAACTTGTAAGTTAACACGTTAACTTCTAAGTTAACATCCCACTCGAACCTGTCTCTTAGAGGCCACATCAAAGCGACATAGGTTGGCCAAGAAAAGAACTGCCTTTAGGATCTTGGGTAACGAGTCATTCATAATCTGTTTATAGAGTTTAGGGGGGAACGTTCAATGGCATGCCACCGAACAGGTTCGGGAACTGAGAGGCATGAGTCACGAGGAAAGGAGACAGGAATTAAACCTCACATCAGTGGAGGACAGAATAGTTACGAGACACATGATCACCGCCTACAAAATTATCATGGGGGAATTGATAGCGTAGATAAGGACAGCCTAGTATGGGTGGTACAAGAACAGGTGAACACAAGTAGAAACATTGTACCCAACTTAACCACGGAAAGATTAGAAAGATTTGTTTTTATTTAGTGTTAGAGTAGTTAAAAATGGAATCTCTTTCTCTCTCTCTCTCTCTCTCTCCCTCTCTCTCTCT